GGATGTAATTCTTGTCCGAGGCGCCAGCGCCGATGTCGATCGTGCCGTCAAAGACATTATTAAGGTCGTCGAGGATGCCAAGATTGATGCCATCGTCAGCAGCTATGTGGGTTTTGTATGATGTATTCATCACTCTGGCTGATCCATTCTACATAGTTCATTGAATTTGACATTGATCGGGAATATGTTGGCCGCGTCGTCGGCACCCAGGGCTCAGGCGTCAACAAACTTCGCGACACTCTTGGTGTTAAAGTTGATTTCTCAGACGAAGCTGATGAGAAGGAAAAAGAGACAGGCAAGAAAAAGAAGGCCGTTCATCAGAAATCCAAGGTCAAGGTAGTTGCTCCACTTGTCTTTCCTATCCCTATTTCTCACTGTATTTGCAAATAGATCACAGGTCGCAAGGAGAATGTAGAGGAAGCCAAAAAACGGATCTTGTCGCAAGTTGAGAGGCTCGTAAGTCATGGCATGATTCGACCTTCCGTTTCTGACACTCCCCCAGGCTGACGAGACTTCTGAAGTTTTGAAAATACCCAACCAGTATCACGCCCAGCTCATTGGTCAGAGTGGCAGGTATGCCATTCGGTTGGAGGAGAATTATGGTGTTAGGATCACATTCCCTCGTTCATCCGGCGAGAACGGGGAAGGCAAGACTAGGGAGCAACTCAAACCTGACGAGGTCCTCATTAAGGGTGGCAGGAGGGGTGTTGCCGGCGCAAAGTCTGAGCTGCTCGACGCTCTGGAGTTTGAAAAGGAAAACAACAAGGTTCTGACATTCGACGTTCCCACCCGTTCAGTCTCTCGTATCCTTGGCAAAGGTGGTGCCAGCATTCTCGAAATCAAGGATGTCACCGGAGCCCAAATTGATGTCGATAAAACCAGCGATGGCACCGGTTCCTTCACACAAATTACAGTTCGAGGTACAAAGGACGCAATTAATGCCGCGAAGACCGCCATCCTGGCTGTAGCTGATCAGGTGGGCGAGGAAACTACGGCATCCTTGGTTATCGAGCGCAAGTTCCACCGTAACATTATAGGTGCTGGTGGGCAGGGTTTGAAAGATCTCATCACCAGGTGTGGTGGTCCGTCTGACACTAAGCTCCAAGCTGGCCTTGTCCGTTTGTGTGTTTGTTCCACTTGTATCTCGGCATTTTGCTAACATTTTTCCAGCCCTCGCCATGATGAAAGCTCGGATGAGGTTCGCCTCCGCGGAGAGCCCAAGTTAGTGAACAAGGTCAAAGAGGAACTTGAGAAAATCGTGGCCACATTGCGTGACCGTGTCGTTTTGGCTGTGGAGGTCCCTGCGTCGCAGCACCGTAACTTAATCGGCAGAGGTGGCCATCATTTGAATGAACTTCAAAACCGAACTGGAGTCCAAGTACAGTTCCCTGGGTCACGCTCGTATAATCAATTTGGCGACCCTGAAAATGCAAGCGAGATGGCAGACGTTGATCCAGCCAATATCGTCAAGGTTTCTGGTCCTCGCAAAGCCTGTGAGGCGGCGGTTGAAGAGCTGAAGGTATGCAATACTTCCTTGATAATTTTCTGCTTCTTATATTTCATACAGACCCATGTGAAGCCTGCCGCTCCCGAGGTCGTGACGGCAATTGTCTCGGTACCACTGAAGTATCACCACGCCATTTCACAGCAGGGCCAATTCTTCCGAACTTTGCGCAATTTCGGGGTTTCCGTCGAGCAATCTGACAAACCTCAGAAGCCAGCAGTCCCTGCTGCTCCCCCTCAAAATGGCTCTACGACTGCCCGCATTGATGATGTTGAGGATGCGCCAGCTATCGAAATTCACTGGCAGGTCACTGAAAACTACTTGGACGCTGAGGAAGGTGACTCGGAGTGGACTTTGAAGGGTAGCGACGCTGCTGGTCTGGAGCGCGCCCAGAGTCTTATCCAGGAAGCTATTGCGCAGGCTGCAGCCATGACCTGTGTGGGCTTTTTAACTCTCCCTGATCGCTCTGCATTCCCGAGAATCGTAGGGTCCAAAGGGTCCAATGTCGCTCGCCTTCGAAACGAGACTGGAGCTGACATTACAGTCAGCAGAGATAACAACACTATCATTATCATTGGTAAGCTGGTTTTATTCATGCGAGATCGCTGGTTTGACGTTGTACTTCAGGGTCGGAATCTGCCGTCGATGCTGCCAAAGAAGCGATCTTGAAGCAAATATCTTCGTCTGGCCGTCCTCCACGCCACTGAGAAGTCAGTCATGTCCACCGATGTTGGGTTTTACGTGTACATCATGCTGTTGTTTCTGAACCATAAACCACACACTATCTTGTTATGATATTCTCTGCAATACAATAGGGCGGATATTGGAATATTAAATCTTTCAAAGAGGAACACCATCAACATCATCTGCATCCATAGGCGATCCATCAATGTCTTCCATCGGCTCGCCGTCGACATCAGGGTCCTCGCTATGATCGAGAGGAACGCCGTCAAGGTCATCGTCAAGGGGTGCATCATCCACATCCAACGGCTCTCCATCCACATCCATGTCTTCAATCGGTTTGCCATCGAGATCATAAGCGTCGTCTGCGACACCAGGGGCTGTCTTGGTTATTTCCTGCGCAGGCTGGAAAGACTTTGCCTTGAACTTGGAAACATATGAAGACTGCGCCTCGGCTGCAGTAACGCTAGCATCATCTTCTGTCTTCGGTTTGTTCAAATCAGCCTGCGTGGTACCATCCAGCCTAGCACGCAGTTCTGCAGTAAAGTCTGGAGGAAAGACAATCCAGTCTTCCCAGATGTCTACTACGGCCGTGATCTGCTTCTTGAACGTTTCCGCGGTGATTCGACCAGGAAAAGAATGATAGATGGTGGCGAAATGATCGAACACTATGCCCAAGCGAGACTGGAATTCCTGCCGAAACTTCCATGCGCTTGGCACTGGGGCTGCTGAGTTGTGTAAGATGTCGCAGATGAGGTGTAACCGAGCAATCTTGCGTGGCACAGGTGTGCTATCCACCAAAAGTGAAGAAATGATGATATCCGATACCTGACATGGTTAGAACAGAGCACTTCTTAGAACAGAGATTGTGACTATACCTCACGAGCAGCTTCTGCATGCTCCAAGCTGAATGTCATACAACGAGCGAGTTCGCCTCTCTTGCCAGAGACACCACGAAGCATTGCTTCGAACCGTTTACGAGCAAGCTTGCCTAAAACAGTTTTGCGAGTTCGTTCTTGCTCCGACTCTTCTGCAGAATCGGTAGAGTAGGCTGAGTTATATCCCTGGCCTGTATTTAGCATGGTTCACTAATCACAAGTAACGCACACACTTCGTCGTCAAATTCTGCGCCAGTAAAATCGTCTCGCTCGACTAGACCCTTGTAGAATGCGTGCCGTCGGTGCTTTTCGCAGTCTGTCAACGTCCTCACCAATGGGATAACTTGACATACCTTGCGCTGCGTCATAAACGAGTACCTGGGATTGTTCTTTTCCCATTCACGGAGATTTTCTTCGTACTCGGACCCATGGCCTTTGACCTCAGCGGCCACAGCACGAATGAACATATCGGTGACAGCAGAGGCCTCATCTTCAGATTCGTGCCTTCTCGAAGGGCTGGGTGACCGTCTACACGGGCTGCGGCTGTCATAGCGTGAACGACTATATGAGCGCCGTCGCCGCCGAGGTGAGCGACTATCGTTCGGGGAACGACTACGGGAACGTCTAGAGGATCGATAGCGTCCCGTGGAGCGACACCGGGAGTGACGCCTTGGCGAATGTGACTCGCTCCTGCCCCTACCTTCGTGTCCTCGCGATCTCGATCTCGACCTGGACGTCCTGCTCGGTACTGTAATGTGCGTTAAAAAAATGCTCAAGGCAACTGCTATGACCTCTACCGTAAAGAGCTTTTGCAGCCATAGGCACAGCTTTACTCCATCCCACACGAAGGATCGAACCCCCCCAATCAAGGCCGTCAACTTCCCTCAGAGCAGCTTCTGCATCTTTACGCTTCATAAAGGATACGAACCCACTCAATCCGGAATTTCTATTGCGGCGCGAAGCAGTCATGTCACCACCCGGACCGGCAACAATATCTCCTCGTGGCCACATAATTTTTACGGAGCCAACAGGACCGTAACGGGCAAAGAAGGTCCCAAGAGACTGCTCAGTGACATTGGAGGGTAAATTGGCCACAAAGAGGTTGGAAGTCTGCGAAAGAAATCATCGGGAAAGAAGAAACGAAAAGTTGTTCACACTCACCTCTGGATCACCGCGGTCCTTGCTACCACTCTGCCCTTCGTAGGCTGCAATGCAATACATTTGAGTTTGACGGCGATAAAGAGCGAATGAAAACACACCTGCTAATGCAGTTACTGACCGCCCATGGGAGGAGCGGGAATACCTGGCCTCTCGCATTGCCTGTTCCCTGGAGGGATGATGAAGTAACACACATAGCAGTAAGAACATAGCTACCTCTTGATCTCTTCGAGAAATGAATCCATGGCTCGTTTGCCTTTCGGCTTCGGTGCATTACCTGATGCGGTGGACTAGTCAAGAATATAAGCACAAGTAGATGTATCTCGCATGGAGGGGTTTACATACTTCATCTTCATTAGATCGAACTGGCCTGCTGCGCGACGAAGATTCCTTGACTGGCGGTTGATAAGATACTTTCGTGCCGTCCGATGCCCGAACAAATCCTGAACCAGCCTTCCGCTTGTCCACATTTTCTCCCTCAAACGCGTCAATGAAATCAGCATATGCCTTGGCAGCACTCTCTTCCTCCTCTCGTTTTTTTGCCTCGGCAGCTTCCTTCTCCTTTTCTCGACGGGACTTGCGGACAGTGCCTTGCGCATACTGCGATAACTTTGTGTCATCGAGGGTCTTTTGCTAATGTACGAAAGTGATTGGTAAGTGTTTCAAAGACATAAATAATGTCTATTCGTCGCACTGGGAACGAAGACTCTTCGTCATCATCAAAGAACGCGGCGAGTCTTGATTTCGTCTTGTCCATTGCACTTCAGAAATCTCCAGGTCAAGTGAAAGAGTTTGAATATGTTGCTTGTGTCTGTCAACAAGCGACTGGTAACTATATGTAGCAAGATTCCCACGCGCCCGCACCCATTACATTGTCCATGCCCATAAATCCCTGTCAAATTTCTACATCATCAAGCTCGCCAGACCTCCTTGCGCATATGCCATCGGCTTCATTGGCGGATGAGGTGTTGCTTCGAATTGGAAGTACTTTTGGTCTCCTTCTGCATCTATTCGTATCTAGCAAGGTGTAAGTATTTGAAGCCTTGGATAAACAGTATATGGACATACAAACGCTCCCTTGTTTCCCACTTGATCCACATAATTCGGGGCTGAAAAGACGGTTGTACAGAGGCCGTCATGTTCTACTGCATACCCATCTGCAAATTCAAATTGGAGCAGGTTGTCTAGCAAAGCACCAAAAAATTCTTACCCTGGCGAACTTCATGACTCCGGATGATAGAAGTAATGCCATTTAACGAACACCACCTCTTCGTGACGTCTGGACCGAAAGCAATGCCGACACCCTGGAAGGGGAGTTGTAAGCCTCGCAGTAATTGGCCAGCTAACTAATACATACACGTTTGCTCGGGCCGCGACCCGGAAGTGTTTGAGGATCAGTCCACAGTAGCTGAAATGAAAATAAGTGCCTATACACACAAGTACAGCAAAATGCACACATCAGCTGGAAGCGTGTCAGTTATGACCATTGAAAGAGTGACAGGGTACGCACACATTAAACCGTCTTGACCAGGCTGCCGTCCAATTCGAGGAATTTTGCGGACGTCATCTAGGGTGACACCGTCTTTGCTGAATAACCCGCCGTGCACGACAAAGTATCTCTTAAGCCCATTTGGTGACAGTATCGCCGTAGTGCTTGTTTTGGTGGGTGCTTTGGTGGCGCTGACAAGTGTTGCTAATGGTACTGAAGAGGCAACGATCAACTGACTGAACTTAACAGATCCATGGATACTTACAAGTGGTGAAAACGTGAGCGAACAACTGTTGAAGAAGCTGTGAGTGCTTTAAATAGAAGAAGAACGGAGGGTATGTACTTTATATGTTTGCTCTCCGTGTTTATGCTTTGCTTCGCCTTCAAAGCCATACGTTCGGTTCATGTCTTTTGCTTCGTGATTACCTCTATTGATGAACATGCGTGTTGGGTACAACCCTTGCGTGATTTCAGTATCAAGGCCTTTCGTATAGTTCATGTGCTCACATTTGTACGCAAAAGCGGTAAGAATGACCTCCACGGACCACGATCCCCGATCAACAAGATCACCATTCATAAGAAGACAATGGTTTTCTGTTGGAGTACCCGTCAATGAAAACAGATTCAATAAATCGTAGAATTGCCCTAGAATAAACACAGTAAGCACAGCTCTATATTAAGCGCTGCAGCGCTTAGACTGACCGTGAACATCTCCAATGACATCGCATGTCACGCCTTCTTGTAGGTCCAAGTTAACGAGACTGTCCTCTTTCACAAAATGCGAGCATGCCCCAAGAATAATCTCCCACGCGTACCGCCTTGGCAGATTTTTACCCGCCTTGAACCACTCGATCATTCCTTTGATAAACTCCTCCGTCATCACATATTTCCCATCATCCCCAGTACTCAACTGTGGACCAGCATATGTTTTTTCGACCTCACAGCCACCTGAAAATGATGAAAACGCAGAATCAATGAAAAATAGAACAACTGACCTTCCGCAATGATTTCATGACATCTTTCTACTGGATCTTTCTCCCCTTCTACTTCAATCGCCTACCCAGACTCAGAAGATCAGTCGCAACATTAACCTGAAGCGCCAAACATACCTTCTCAAATTCTATCCTGCGCACGAGCTTTTGGGTAGCTGTGAGTTGTGATTGGACGACCGTGTTTCTAGGCTCTAGCGCGACGACTTTCTTGAAATCCGCCACCGCTAATTGAGGTTTCACAATCTGTAAATAGCACGTCGCGCGACTGATGCGAGCGCTTAGCTTCGGACATCTTATCCGCAACCTGTCACATACCGATAAAACGCCTTGGCATATTTAGGATCGACTTCGATGGCCTTTGCTATAGTCGCGTGAGATGCTGAAACACCTTGAACTGACATATACAGCAACTTACAAGCATCTGCGAGTGCGAACCCATATTCTTCTAACTTTGTTCGAGCTGCAGCGCGATTGCACCAGTACGTTGCGTCTAACGGGTTCAGCTCTATGGCCAGGGTGTAGAGTCTAACGGCCTCCACGAAATTATGACCTGTTGAACAGATCGCGACGGCTTAAACATCATCACTAATGCAATGTCAATGTTTAACACGCACTTGCGAACGCTTGATTTGCCTCTATCTTGATCTTAGCAGCCTTCGCCCGATCCTCGTCGGTCACATCTCCTAGAGTCAATGTTTGAATCTCTGGAGAGGGAAGAGATGATGGCGCAGTAGATGCCCTTGAAGAGGGTGCGGAAGATGATGTCGACGATGAATCACCCATGTTATGCAAGACGTTCACTAGCTAAGAAGCGTGCGTCGCGATCTGCAAGTACTGGCTAGTCCATTAATTACCTCGACCTGAAAATTTCTAAGAAAGGAAATTCACATCGGTGGCTTTACATTAACTATTTCTCAGAATATTGAGCTTGGGCGATTCGTAAACATGCAAAAAGCTTCGCGTTAACCAGAAAAAATAAGTGAGATCACAGGGAAGCGGTGACAGCGTCACCATAAAGCGGGTATAGATGTAATAGTATGCGGTAATAAGTGGTATAAGATGTAAACCCTTACTTGATGCTTTCCATGATAGATAATGTCCCAGTGAAAACAAAAATAGTCCCGATAGGACGTTGCTTAGTTACAGACATTCAGGTTGAAGTACTGGCCAAGAGGAGGGTTGTGCTCATAGGCGTTGATGTTTTGACACCAACCGTTCAAGAACTGATGTAAGCTATTTCGACATGTAAGTTTAAATCGCACAACCCAGAGATCAATAAAGGCTTACTAGTCGAGGTTGTTCTGCTCCCTGCAGTTCCCACCATGGGCAGCAGCAGTTGCATTCGCCTGCACACATACAGTCAGCGCCAGGATTTCTAAGTACGGCAACGAAATAAATACAAAAGTCATTCCCTGGAACCAGCCGTTGTAATGACCAATGGAGGAGAGAAGGTCGCCATTATTTTCACCGAGAAGCTGCGAGAATAACATGGCACCAGCACCAATATTGAAATCCTGCGGAGCGGAATATGGCATCATCAAGATGATATGTCTGATACGATGACGACATGGCTTACAACATCCTTGCAGTCACCGTTGGGAGCACCGACGCATTTGTCGCTGGTGAGCTGCATCAAACCTTGCTCACCAGCTCCACCAACAGTGCTCGGTATACATGAACTCTCCTGCATGGCAAAAGATGCAAGGAAAATAGCAGGGACTGTTGCACAACGTCAGACAAAAATGTAGCAAGACTTTTGGGAATGACACCGACTTCCATACTGGCTACCATATTTCTCAAATGTTGTGACAAATTTCTGGCAGTTTGCGAATGCCGAACCATTTTGGTATGCAACTGCCGACAGGTCAACAGTAACGATATCCTCAATTTTGATCAAGGGTGGATTCCATCCGTTTCCGTTGATTCCACAGGTCAGGAAATCGATATGGCCATTGGGACCGCTCAATGCAGTGATTTTCCCTGGTAAATATATGTGCATCAGCAATTACATTCGCTTCGCTTAAAACACGAGAAAGTCGCACCGGTTGCGCCGCTAGGTCCACAACCTTTGGAGGAGATGACGTTGACGAGTCCATCAATTGGCCCGCTTCCAGAGGGCTGAGGAACTGACGAAGTTGTAGGAGGTGTTGGTGTTGGCGATAATGTGGAAGGCAGAGCCGTGGTTGATTTAGTTGATGCTACAGTCGAAGCTGAAGATGGTGATGGTGCTGTAGGCAGAGCCATGGTTGATGCTGTAGTCGAAACTGAAACTGGTGATGATGCTGCATGCACAGTCAGGGTCGATGTGGTAGTTAATACTGTAGTAAATTCAGAAACCGAAGCTAAGGGTGAAGCTGTAAACGATGCAGTGGGTGATGGTACAGGACTTCCCGAGCTGGCCTATAGTCACCGGTACGCAATTAGAAGGGAGCATAAAATTTACAGTAAGCTTCTTTGCGGCCAGGATTCGAATTTGAAACACGACTGACCGGTCTTGACTTGCAACTCCTCCGCCGCGGTTTGGGTGTGCCATCGCCACCCTTGTTTCGAGCAGAAAGAGCGGAATGTCTCCCCGGCGCAGCCCGCTGCACAGGAAGCTTTTGGAAGCTGTGTCCGGCTTGGACGACAACTTGAACGGTGAAAATGGCGAGCACAGCGAGAACTGACACAGTGAACTTCATTGTAGCAAGAAGAGATAACAACAAACGATTCGGAGCGGATTGGTTGAACGGGGGCAGAGAGAGGGGGCAGAACTAAGAAGATAAAGAACAGTTGGTCCAACTTCAAAGCAACATATGCTGCTGCATTGTTGGGACCATTGGGTCACGTAGTATTCAAGCGAAATCATAGCCTGCCTCTAACGCAGGTCCACGTGCAGTGAGCAGGGGTAGCCGTCGTCGTTGTCGTCGTTTTCAGTGAAAATTGATGACTCTATGATGTCTGCATCTACCCCGCTACAGCTGTATCCGTGTCAGCCCGACATGCGTCCTCCCGGTTCGAACAAGAACTCACATCTCAAGCTTCAAGTCTGAGACAGGTCGGGACCAAGCTCATACTATCTTGGAAGCAATGGATTAGAAAACATTGACTCGGATATGATAACAATGGACCCTACCTAATTGCAAATTAGACCATCATGCTGCGGCAATGGATGCAAGGGGCCCATGCAAGACAAGTCCGAGTCGAAACTGTCGAGTCTGAGCCAGAACACCGGTACCACTTCACTGGATGTATAAACAGTCAGTCTTGACATGCACACATCCCTCTCAGGCTCGAGTTGTCTGGACGCTTCTTAGATACGGTCGTCGGCCGACCTGAGCGTGTTTTTCGCAACACAGCACGCATTCTGAGAAGTTCTTGCCAACGCGTTTGTTTGTTCAGGTGGCTATATTTGGTACGTGACGCGTGATGCATGACTAATGACGTATTGCGTGCAACCACTCAATCACTGCCACTCTCACATGCGTCGGATCCGAACTAATCTGACTCGTCTAGGTTACATCGGGCGCATACGCCCTATCTCCCAGCTAGCTATCTGCAGGCTACACAGAGTCCGACAGACGGAATTTTCTGCAGCCTTATGCGTCCTTCTTCTCCCGGTGTGCGTGAGAGATCTCACAGCTTTTGAATGGGTCTGAGCTACGACACTGAGAGTTTCTGGCTCGGAACAGACCCTGTTTGGCAAGCCGGTTCGAGTTATTCCGCAGCTCGCTCAGCCCGAACGGCTCCCGCCCGACTCCCGAGTGAGGTCATTTGCTGTTCGGGTGTTTGAAATGTGAGTCACCGCACCACATTTTTACCCGTTTTTGACACAGGTGATGCTTCATGGACCATACCCTGTCTAGCTTCAGGTTTCATCTGCTTTTGAAAACACCGGAAAGATCCTGACAAGTTGTTTATCTGTCGTTACTATTCTAGACAGCTTCTGACTTCGGGTGCAGAGGCTTGAGAAAATTCAGACGCAACGCAATAGCAGAGGGGTATTAAAATGGTCAGCGCCAAGGGAAGATGAAGTAAACGACAACTGAGGCAAGTAACGACACCTTTGCTAAACTTGAACAGTGACAGTTGCTAGCGCCAACGATCGATGATCGAACTCTGGCGCCAGACGGTCGTCTGACCTTTGGATGTTTGTCGTACGAGTATCCTACATACGTATTACAATTTGACAGGCATAGGTCAACATCAAGTTTTGCTCTTAACAACCAGGCCCGGGACATATTTTTTTTTCTGGGTAAACAATCGGGTCAACCAGACAAGTCTTCCATGTGCAGGCTCCGAACATTCTGCGGATCATCAAGTTCAAGGAGGTAGATTTTATTCGGCTCCGATCTCAGTATTTCATGTAGGGCAATTCTGTGACGCCTGCCAGAGGCTGCCACATATCTAAAATTGTGAATACTCACGTGAGGCAACATGCCGTTGGTCCGAGGTTCTCGCCGGCCGATGCTCATAGATGTTTTTTCCGCGATTACTATGTACGTTCTCCGGCGGTGTAGAGCGGCGAGGTGTGAATATAATGCCGTGAGGCGTCAACGAGCTGCCACTGATGCTAACGTTTTACACATTAATAGGATATGTAATACCTGTTTGATGAATTGCAAGGGATGAACAACGATAGGAACTGTGGAAGATCTAATCACGTATATGACACGTATCCCACTACAGCACTGCTATGGCCGCGGGACAAGAGGTTGACTACGATACAGTCGGAAGATAATCAAGGTTTAAAATGATTAGCACACCCCCTCCACGTGCAAATAAGACTGATACTACTAGTAGGTCATGGATGTACCAATTTAAATGCTCATGATGTGTTGCTTGAGTCAAAAAACACATGGTGTACGAATCAAGGATTACGCCGAGATCTTCTCAGACCTCCGGATGGCAAATGGACATTCACGGAAGGATGATTTGGGAATTTCGAGGAACACGGGCTGGCGGCGGTATGGAACTGAGTCAGTGACGGGCTCTTCGGAATAGTTCCCCGATCGGATGTCACAGGCCATGAGGCCGGCAGGTGTGATAATTGCGTGGTCTCAGAGTCAAAGAGAGTCACTGAAAGCTTTTAAGGTGAAGACAGACACATAGGAGGTAGCTGTGTTGCTTGAGCTCCGATAGAATAATAAGGAGACGATCCAGGTGTTTCATCTTCAAGAATAACCCTGTGATGCCAATCAGTTGAGTGTGAATTCTTTGACGTGGCGAGCGGAGTGGGAGGACAAGGCATTGTTTTTGGGACAGAGGAAGAACAATAAATTTCAAGGCAGCGCTCTTGCGCCCAAGCTATGTGCGCAGTAACACAAGTTGGAACACTGCCACTGGTGCGCCCCCTAGCTCCCGACGGCGGGAAAGGGTCATGGAAATAGTACAGGAAGTCCATATATTGTACAGCTCACAGTGGAGTCTATGATCAATGCAGGTTGGGAAGAACTACAGTTTAATTTCATATGTGGGTCACTGTGAGTCAAGTCGGACCCCGACTACCGGCGATCGGGGTCCTAAATAACCCAGTGACTCCTTCAGTTTAAATAACGCCCTCCTCGAACCTGGAAGCTGCCTGCCTTACAAGTCCTTAGCTAGGCTTTATCTACCCTTACCTTCCAGATCCTCGCCTGTTCAGCTCATTTTTGTGTTATCATAGCCTTTTCGTCAAGGCTATAATAACTATTAGGATAGTCTAAAGTCTCAAAGACTTTAGATAGTCCTCCTCAAAGGAGTCACGATGTGCTCCCCAGTAATTCCCCGTTTGTCCAGCTCAATCTCCGAAACCGTCTACACACAAGCCTCCAAATTTACGTTCAGCTTCAAGATAACCAAAGTAAACTCCATTAATGCTGTCGTCAAGTCCTTCTAGATAATCCGCTCAAGCTCGTCTATCTCGTCTTAATATTTACACTCTCCTCTCACCTTGCCATATTTTTTCAATCTGCTCATCTCTATGGTTCGCGCCGCCGCTCACTCTCTGGCCCATCGGGGCCCACCAACAACAACAACAACACATTCACACACTCGGGTTCGCTGGCAACCCTATTATGCCACCCTTTCCTCAGTTTCCTCACGCCAATCTCCTTCATATCTCGTCACTCCCGTCTCATCTGTATCATCCATTACACCTTCACCTTCATCGACATCAGTATATGAACCAGAACGACAGCGAAATACTCAATTTCACACCCGAGAATATCAGCTCCGCGACTCCCAGAAATCGAAATATGTGACTGGTCTAGTCGGTAAGTTCAAACTTCACTAGCCATTTTTGGCCTCCAATCTCAATTTCGGGATCTGTATCCGCCGTTAGATCAAGCTGTAGGATCAATATGTGACATATGGAACCCCCAGGATATCCCTTTCGTCTTTTTGACATCGTCTCGTCCGACTGTGGCCACCGCTTCTACCGACTCCATTATTGCATCCCTTCCCAGTATCTCACTCCACGGACGTAATACTCAACTTCCCTCTCCCATATCTCCAACGACACAGTCATCTCCCACGCCCGCGCCATGTATCCCAAATTCGTACTCCCCCGAGATACCCCTGACGCCCGAGTCGAGAGATCAGGCACCACGGTGCGACATTGCGCCCATGAAAGGGTTTGTTCACGAGGTTCTTCGTCGTTCTCGCACGTCAGGCACTGTTCTACAGACAGCCCTTTGTTACCTGGAAGCTATCCGCGCCAAGATCCCAGAGCTGGTCTCGCAGGAGAAGGGTCACCCTGGGTCCACTTGCGAAAAGGAATCGGTTGAACGTATCGTCCAAAGCGAGGTCAGCCCATCTTGTGCTGGCCTTGATGGTCCTACCTCTTCTCCGGAAACGTCGGCAGGCAATGGCTTGCTGGATACTATTCGCATCAATCCTATTACACTTGAGGCCGATTCTATATTTGCAGAGCCGGTATTAGGAAGCAGACAAGGTGTCTCCCCACAAACCTAAGCCAAGTAGTGGCTGTTTAGCTGCCGCTTCCTCCACTTCCGTCACCGCTTTTGTGTCCTCGCCGCACTTTCCTTGCGTCACTCATCCTTGCGTCAAAATTCATGCAAGATCGCTGTTACTCGAATCGTGCATGGGCTAAACTTTCGGGCCTTCCGCCACGGGAAATTGGCCGTTGTGAACGTGCTCTGGGGGAGGCGCTTGAGTGGCGCCTCTGGGTTGGCAAGTTACCCGCAGCGCCGGTTGCTTCCGGACGCGCTCTCACAAAGTGCAAAAGTGAAAGCAACATTTTGCTTAGGAGCAGCCCGATATCGCAGTCAGTAATGGAGACTAGCCCGGCTGTTTCACCAATATCGGTAGGCTCACCTCTGGTGGCAAGGCATCGTGCGGGTCTCAGGCGGCACGCCACGTTACCCGTACACAGCTTCTATCGCGAAGACTCATATCCGGCGACAATTTCGTCTGCCGTTGAAACTTCGCGGTGGATGCCAACCGAATCGAGTCTGGCAATGGATACCAGTCCGAACGACACCGAGATCAGTCCACCGACGCCTGGTCTCAGCTACTCGCCTACGCCCACGGAGTCATCGCTTGGGGATCGCACTATTCAAATGTCAAGTTTCATGGACATGTCGACGCCGCCGCCGCCATCCGGTCAGTTCGCCGCTTTTTCGAGCGCGCAGAACGACAAGATATTGCAGCCGGTACCGATCCCGTTCATGTATTTGACGCCGAATAATGTGTGTCGGAGTCACGTTGAGGATCAACCGTATTTTGCAACAGGTATTTCAGCATCACACAACGAATCCTGGCCATCAGTATATGCTTTTTGACTGCTATCACCCATGGACGCTCACGCGTTCGCTGTGCTGACTAGTTTGGTCAATACTTCCTATGCCTATGCGTCTCTGTCTTTCTGTCTTGTTCCTATTCCTTCTGTACATATAGTTTATTTGTTGCGTGTCCGAGTATGTGCTTATGTTTTGTTAGTTGTTGGTTCTGGAGTGCAGCGGCATTTGCCTCACTATGAACAATCTGGGTACGGTCTTCTTGTGTACTAGTATATAACCATACCCTATAGACTTGCTTTGAGCATCAAAAGGCGCTAGTGGGTGCTGCGGAACTAGTCCAATTTTTTTTTCATTAGACCAAGTCATTAACCTTAGGCTGGACATGTCTCATCATCTTGCTTTATCCATCATAGTACCAGGCAGATATTAATGTGACAAAGACCGTCTATAGTAGTTACTTTACCTATTTGGCGATAAGACAGCAGGGACAACTCACTTGTGGGTGAACGCACTCTGAGGGCGACGAGCAATCACATCAACAACGTAACAGTTGCAGGGGAGAGAATCAGAGATGTACAAAACACGCCCCGCGGACGTCACAACAAAATATCGTACAAAATAATCATCACACAACTTCTTTCTTTGTCCCTGACAATTCCGAAATTCACCGAAGGGAGGAACGTTGTGGCGCCTCGTGAAGTTCGGAGTGGTACTCAAAGAACTCCAAGGGATAGTTATCAGGATGGATGGCACGCCACGAGTGAGGATGGCCATCCTCGTCAAAAAATGCTGTGAGGTGGTGGATAGCATGTAGCTTCCACCCGGAAGTTCCCTGACGATTAACATCAGAGAGGTAATGAATCAAGCGTACCGGAATGAAATGCTCACCTCGTGGTGAATCCTGGACCACAACGCAAGTAAGTCATAAGTCCAATTATTTACAACACCGTAAAAAAAAACCCCAAGACCTCGCAGTCGAAATTCGAATAGAACCGCGCACCTGACGTGAATATATCCCTCACCCAGCTTATCATTAACAGCAGGAAGCCTCAACTTCCCAAAGATAACGTGTCCGTAGCTCGCCTGTCCGTTTCGGATTTGTACGAGATCATCTCGAGAGAAGCTCGTGAGTTCATCGTCGCTCAGCCCCGCTGCTCGAGCCCACATTGAAGACTCATGGTGAACTTTCCAAGAGCGCCGTGACTTCTTGATCGATTCTTTGATCGATTCGGCTACGACATCAAAGGCATTTTTCGCGTCCTCCCCAGGGACGTGCGCGTCGTCTAGAATGATTTGTTCTTGCGAAGCTGAAAAAGATATATGTAAAAGATCATTCAATGGTTAATACTAAGAAGATATTCGATTGAAATACCCATGATTGATCACAGGAATTGGTCAATGGAACGAACTCGTTGAGCTGCACACGACAGGAGACTGGGTGGGGCGCTAAATTCTCACGAGGCGGAAGTGGGGTACATGTTCGGCCGGGCTCGCCGGAATGTTGCATTAGCCGATGCGAGCATAGGAAAAGTGCTTGGGTCTAGTACTAGTCTGGGCAGACGAACGTTGGATTGTTCGGGAACATTAGGTATAATGGTCTGTTCATTATATCTTAAAAATATCTGGATAATCGGACGAAAGACGGTGATCGATAACTGTGCTCCCAAGAACATATTTCGAGCTTTCTTCCGAGTCGGAGGCATCATTTCATACCTCAAATGATCTAATCATAATCGCGTGAAACTGGAAGTTTTCCCCGGACTCATCGTGAGGTAAAATGAATGCAACCGGAAAGATAATCGCTTGACAGAAGGAGTTTAGTGCCACGAACTGTCAAAGGCATTGGTTGCATGCAGTGATTTATCGCATGTGACAGCAATCTCTATCGAAATTTTTATCAGATCCTGCAGTGCAAGTGCGAGTGTGCCACAAGGCAACATACTAGTGCAATTCCACTGTACCATGTCGTTCCCATGTAGTACCTCCCCCCTGCCAAGTTCGGGTTACCTCCCACAGGTCATTATAGCGCATTTGAACTCCTCGGGATGTTGAAGAAGTCTAGTCGAGAACAGCTCCTAAAATTATACAATACATCAAACAAATCTCCAATATTGCGGGGATAATCAATCGTTCTTCTAGGAACGGGGGACCATGGTTCCAACCTTCCCCTACGAGGTCAATGACTCATTTGAATGTCACGCGCTCTCCTGTGAAAACGACGTACCATTGCTCAGTAGATGCTCTTGTATTTGATAACGAACTTCAGAGTCTCACTGTCAAAGTTGTGTTGTTTCATAATTAGCACTTGTCACTGAGAACTCGATAGTCCAGATCAAGGTTTACAGTAAAGATAGTGGAACGACTCCATTGGAGGCATTTGGGTCGATAAGGCACACTGAGCACCCTGCGACCACAATAAGACAGCGGCACAAACAATCACATGTTCGTCGTCTGAAATATCTTCGCTTGTAGGAATGATGTAGTAGTCCCAACGGGTGACCGAGAGTGGATTCGTAAGGGCGCGCCCGTGCAACGTCGAATATCGCGAGTAGGCTATCCCTTGCCATATCAATGTGGCGTATTCCATGGAAACCTTGCCTTACGGAAGGCGATGGTATTTGGGTTGGGTATTGTCGATCGTGTCTTCTATGTGGCAATACAGATGAGGGGAAGTGTGTGAGTCATGTGGAGAGTGCCGCGAGAAAAGCTGCCTGTGCGATGAGTACTCGCGACAGCTTCTTTCTTTAGGCGAATTGTGACGTGGATGCAAGAAACTGAAAAACCCAATACGACAATTTCTTTCATTTGACCAGCTTCTTGGGCTGACTGCGACGTAACAAAAGACAATGATGGACGCCTGCATGGGCGCTAGCCAGCCACTCGAACCAGGTGTCCGACCTCGTATGTAAGTTCATCTGAGTGCCTCGGGCGAACGACTGGTTCGTCCTGATAGTTGAAAATAAGTGGCATGGTGAAGCACGTACACATATATTATTTGTTCTCCCACCAGATGGTGCGAAGCATACGTTGAAATCCTCGGTTAAGTATATTCGACACCTTTAAACTTAAGAAGATATACCCTCTCGGTGAAATGGTTCTACCGCGAAGCAGACGGATGCGGCCAAGGGTTGCTCTTCTACAGGAAACGAGGGACGTTCCTGATTGAAACAAATGCAATTAGCAGTAGAAGCAATTGGTGGGCAATGGAAGCGAGCCAAAGGCTCGAGTGAGAGCATCGAGCCCAGAATTCTCTGGGAATACTGCGCTGCCGACAGAGATCTTCCTTCGTGAATTGTGACCGCGCGGCGACTGACATGAATGCCGTTTTTTCGGAGGGTCCCATTTCCATTCAGAGAAATATTCGATGGAGGACAGCATAGATGCCGTTGACGTTCGTGGCCCTGCAAAACATGAATGTAGGCTTCTGATAAGTCTGGTCATAACTTGCCAAAATGGGTACGTGCCGTGTCACAAGTCTCGCGGCAGTAGCCTCAAGAGTCGCTGAGATAAAAGGACTTCGTTATTTGTCGACGTAAAGACCAAGGGTTGAACTTCTCATTCTGCAACTTGATGTCAAGAACGGCAGGGACGACAATGATTTATTCATGCACGAGGAATCCAGGCTGTTCAAACGAGCTCGGCCCCGTAAAGGTGAGGCGCTTTTTGCACAGGAACTCGCAGTTCTGAGGAAAATCAAATACAAGGAACCGACGGTTGTAAGTTCCAAGCGAATGTTTAAAAGTACTCCCACCAGACGTCAAATCAATTGGCAGATATCTTGCTGATTCTTGATGCATTTATCACGTTCTACGAGCAAATGTTGAGATGGTGGTGAATGACAAGGTAGAAACATAGGACGATACCTGAGAGTTTTTGAACTCGATATTAGGAAATCTGATGATGCGTGAGTGAGTACTAGTACGAGATAAGATAAAGAGATATTAAAGGTCATCACGCGATATCTTATAAACGCTCGCTCGCTTGTAAGAACAAAGTTTGAAGATTGAGTTCTGTGAGCTCGGCGAGTGGCAAAGTGTTCAGTACTCAAATTTAAACCTCCTGGAAGAGGGTGAAACACCGTGAAAGATAAATTAAGGCTTCAGTTAAGTTTCGAACTCCGCCAGGACCAGGCCCGACCACCGCCACTGACACTTTGCAACCAAACCATTGTGGCGAACATGGTCACACATCCTTTTTTCTTCAGCGCTTATACATGGTTGAGTTACAGGTATGTCATACTGTGACGGTACTCAAGGTACGAATGTTCTTCCTCATGCAAACTCAAATGATAATGTTACACAGAAGCAGTGCATCTTTAGATGTCAGGCTAGGTTCACTCATATTCGTTCTGGAGTTCTCCGTCGCGATGCGAAGAGGGCATTTCGTTAGCTGTGACGGCCGTTCGATGAGGTTCAAGATGTATCCGGTCACCGCCGGCTTGATGGTGCAATCCACTTTTAGATCGTGTCCCAAGTAACGAATTTAGCACTTCAAACTATCCCGCCTTATCCGCGACCTCTATCCAATACCCCTGTCAAAAAATTCCAATCAGCTAGTCTGTATTCGACATCGTCAGCCATTAGTGACGGCAATGGTGCTACTCGGCCATAAAATCCAGTAATGCCAGATTACTGAAAACTTCCTCGCGCCGTCGGTATGCGATGTCTTGGCAAATCCAGAAGAAGACTGTTCCTATCAGGTCACCAGTACCCAACGACGCTGACGTGACCGCGGAGTTGCAGATAGATATCAGTAGTGGTGTGAAAGACATGACCAGTTCTCCCAGACTCAGCGCAGATTAATGGTAACAGTCGTCTCTACGGAGAGCGTACGAAACCCCCCCAGGTAAAGAATGATCCGCAGTCACTATTGTCTTCTATCATCTCATATCGTGTGACAGAAACTGTACACATTTGATCCTTTCAGCACTCTTCCAGACTCCGAGCGATGATGTTCACCGATTATGTAAATAGTGAATCGTATTTGCGGCTCGTCCAGGACCCATCAAAGAGACTGTGCTGGTTATGTGCACGCATATTTGA